TCTTACAAAAACAGACATTTGTTCATCATCAACAATGTCACATGATTCGTCTTGTGACAAGTGCTATGGCGTAGCAATGTGCTATTTGCAAAATACTAAGAAGAGAGTTTTTATTATCCGCAGCTAAAATTTCCGTTCTTCGTGTATTACTTTGCTCTGACAATGAGATGCTTTCAATTGCTGAGGCAACATCTTTTTTTTTCTTTAGAAATTCAGTTAGCTACTGCCAGCATACATTTTTCTACTATCTCAGAATCAAATGGTTTTTGGTGTTTATTAAGTATCCAGCACACACGTAACGTTGCCTCTGTGGATTTTTCTTGGTCGCTCTTGCAGCGAACCAGGAGAAGAAATTTTTCTTTACGCGCCTGACTGCCAAGAGGAAAGTTTTTGTGGAACTGCTGATGAGTTGTTTCGTAGTGTCGCTTCAAATTTTCACTTTTAACTAAGGTGACAGTGTAAAACAATATTGTTCAAACCATTCTGCTAGAAACTTCCTATTTTCACGGTCCACTTTTCTTCTTTTCGGATCCATATTAACGTAGGTACAAAAAGATGTTTTATAAAACGAATGAAAACGCGAGTAATCACAAAACAAATTAACGGTAATGCGCTACATGCATGGTACTGACCAACTAGTGAGCGACTGTCAGTCAGTGGACAGCAGCATTGCGAGACCCATAAATTATATTTCCTCAACTTGTGTTTTAAAAGTTGCCAAATTTTAAACAGAATTTCCCAGATTTATATATTTCAGTTATTGTAAACATTCAATATTATTATAAAACAATATTTTATCACTTAAACATAATTGTTATTATATTTATTTATAATTTCACTTCCTATTTGAACATTAACAGCAGTTTTATTTTAAACTTGATTGACTCAGCAATCGATATTCCGTAGTTCGGTCCGCAATTCAACTTTTTGCGGTCCGCATTCGGACCGCGGTCCGCCTGTAGCCGACCGTTGGTCTAAACCTATAAAATTTGTGGCCATATTTACAGCCTTGTTATCGAACCATCTAATTGCAACAGTATTTTGATCGAAAATAATTTTCGAGTCTGAACTTCCACTTCCTGATAGTTTAAGTTGTTTTTCGGAACGAAGTGTACAGTTTCCCACTCAATTTTGTCTAATAGTTCCAGCAGCAAATATTCCTCTCGTGTGAAGTAATTTTAGTAATTTCATTGAATTATAGTAATTATCAGGCTATCTGCATTTTTAGCGGTTATATAGAGTATGGGTAAATATTTTTTTACTACTGAGTTTTAGCACTAGACTTTTGTGTTGAAAATCCAAGTATCTTTTAAAGCGTATTTTTAAAATATGCAACTTTTGTTCCACGGAAACACAGATTTATATTCGATTTTAAGAAGATCCACCAATATTATATTAGGGAATTTTTACTTAAAGCTGTCATACATCTGTGAAAGAAAATATTTAAATTGAAATACTTCTATTTGCTTATTGAATTAAAAATATCTTTATTTTAATACAGACTAACAACTGAGCAATAAGAATAAATGAAAATAAAAAAAATAGGTGGAAACATTACTACTGATAGAATCAAAATCCTTGAGGTTGTCAAATCCTTTTATGGCAAAATGTATGAGAGTGCCGACGAAAGGCAAAATCAGCCATTGTCCAAAATCACAATCCAGAGATCAGAATTAATATAACTCGAAATCAAAACGAAACTTTTAGAAATGAAAAATATTATATCCCCTGACGATGACGGAGTAGTGATCGAAGCGATCAGACTAGGTAAAAATAAAATTATCCAGGCTTTGGCCAAGCTTTTTACCAAATGCATCAATCAAGGAAAAACTCCTTAATGAAATAATGTAATCATTATTTTATTCCTTATCCTTTTATTCCACTTATCATTATGTAAGTAAGAACACATCAAATTCTAAAAATCTACCGTCTCAGTTTGCTTTCCACATAAATAAACATTTTACAAAAACTATCAAAAAAAGACGCTAAATTAGACATCTATCAGTATATAAAACAAGCTGGATTTCGATCGGGATACAGAAATATCGACCACCTTCTAGTAATACAGATCCTGACAGAGAAGTCTGAAGACTACAACAAACCATTGGCACTGATATTAGTCGACTACCAGAAATTATTCGTAACCACAAGCCATCAAAAAATAGTAAAAGCATTGATAGAATGTCGAATAGACCATCACTACACTAACATAATCAAATATATCTAAAAAAATGCCACAGCTAGAGTAAGACTATCTGAACAAGAAACAAATAAATTTTGCAGCAAGGAGTATAGCAAAGATATATCATCTTTATAAACTATTCATTCTATTCATAACGCTTTTAAAACATACTTGTAAAAAGGCACATCTAAACATCCAGGTTAGGTTAAAAATTAATGTGAACAGGAGCATTACTGAAGCTAAATCGAAATATTGCTGTTGATGGAAGAGATATTGTGCAGACTATACCGTATAATTACTTAGGACATGAAATTATACTAATCTGGCATATATGGACTTACCTATATGCATCAAAAGTAAAATTTTTAACGAATATGTGTTACCTGTATTCACTTATGGAGGGAAACAATAACATTCACAAAAAAAGTAGTGAATAAGATTCGCGTGACTCGCGTTTTCGCGAGGGCAAGGAGCGCCAGATATTGGTGTCTCTTTGAGAGACAGAATCCCAAACGAAGAATTGCGTCGTAGAACAAAGACAATGAAAGACATCGAAACAATCGCGTCGGTAAAATGGTATTAAGCAGGACACGTCGACAGATTATCAGACAACAAACAAAACGTATTTTTTTAGAGTGGAGACCAAGAAAAAAGCAATACGGAGCAGAGGATGCCCACCAACTACATGTGCTGACGAGCTGAAACGTGTTAGCAATAACTGGATGAAAGCCGCACAAGACAGAGATAGTTGAAAAGAGCTGAGGGAGACTTTTGTCCAGTAGTGGACGCATAGGGGTTGATAATGAATAACTAATAATATGCTTACGTTTTTTTGTTAATTTTTCCGTTAGGTACCGACATGTTTGTTATGTAATTTAATAAGTATTCAGCGTCAATAAAGGGTTATTTAATCATTGATATTTTAAATATTTCGCTATTGCCGCTTTACAAGGTGTTTCATTCAGGAAAAAATGTAAGTATAGAATTCACATTTCCATTTTCAAGAAAAAATCATTAATTTTCGGCTCGTGTTTCAGCCTTGTCCGATGGCTTATATATTATATTTAAATTATTTTTCATACTCTAAGAAATAACAGTAATATAATAAACTAATTAATCAGTTAATCAGTTGCTTTAAACAAATTAGGATATCGATCATACATTATCTAAACCAATACAGGAAATATTTCCGAAAAAGATGTCGTGTGCTGTTGATTTGAGCTTTATCATGGAAGTATCTGAGATTAAATAACTGAAACTTATTCCTTTGATAACGTCAAACACGTTTTGTTTGTAAATAGCTTAACAGGAAATTAAAGATATAGTGTGATAACGCTGTTGTTGACAGCTCAGTAATCGATTAAGGCATGACGAGGCAAAAATTTTAATTATATCAGAGTTTGACAGAAATATAGACAATAAAAAAAAATTTTAAATTCAAAATAATTCAAAATTGCTTTTCTCAAAAAAAGTGAAAATGTATTATCACGATCTATAAATAAAAAAAAATTTACAGAATATACGTAAATATTAAGAAGGTTTATAGAGATATAATTAAAAAAATAGCCAAAATACCAATTGCACTGATCCATCACTTGTGATTATCTCATTCATGAATATAATGTATCATTAGCAAACATAATTAATAATAATATAAACATTAAATAGAAAAATAGTCAGACGAGTTAATTTAGAGAAATAGATAAATTATAGAGACAGATAAATTTAGGAGAATAATTAGTAAAGAAATAAACCAAGCTATTCAACTCAGGCTTTTAGTGCACGTTTTTTTTTTATTTTACAAAATAGTCGCATCAACCTCTGAGCTTATTAGCGACGTATATATATATATATATATATATATATATATATATATATATATATATATATATATATATATACATGAGATAATTCATTTACAGTAAATGTTAGATTTTGTTAAATACATTGATATCTTTAAGGAATTTTACCTAATGTTTAATTTTACAATTTTCTCCTAAGAGTTCACTTGTTGATCCGATGATGTGGTTGTTTTGTCTCTGCAAATGGTATCTTGGGCACTCTACAAGTACATGCTTAACACGTTGTGGGATATTACAGTTTTCACATAAAGTGGGATTAGTGTGACCAATTTTGTGTCCGTGGGTAAGTCGGGTATGTCCTAGAGGAAGACGAGTAACAATGACTTGGTGATTTCTGTTAGGAATTTGAGATTTCTACGGTTTTACAAACGTTTTCACTTCGCGAAGTTTTTAAGTTGAACTGTCCCATTGGTTTTGCCACAGATTTTCGACTTTTACCACATAATTTGAATCATTCAAACGCAACATATATCAAAATAAACTATATGTAAAAGAAAAAATAGTTCTGAGCATGAATGGGTGAAACAATACATCTCTGGTTAAGTGTTATGTAGAAAATAGCCATTCATTTGATTTTGAAGATGTACAGATTTTGGAAATACAAAAGAAATATAACAAAAGGTATATACTGAAGACGATTCAAACATAAAAGATCAAAAACTGTCAATAATAAGATTGATCTAAAAAATATCTCCAATATATGTTATAATTTAATAAATTGAGTCAAGTAGCTGCCATGCAGCTTTGGGGTAAAATATCACTTTTGCGATCCATCGCATTTGCGAAATCTTTTCTTTTTCCTATAAAATGTAGTACACACAAGAAAACTTGGGTCACTTGGGAAACTTATGTTGACAAAGAAATAATTACCAATAACTTAATTAATGAAGAATAAAATATTTAAAAAACAATAAATTTGTGTCATAATTATATGCTATTTATAAAGTATAATTTACCTCCAGCTAGTAAGACACCTAGCTTTAGTAAAACTCTACCACTAAAAATCATCGTAGGTATTACTAACAATGACGGGCACAAGGATAACGCTGGTTTATTTATATATTGTCAATTCATTCCACTGATAACATATTTGTATAAAAAACAAAATTTATGGTAATCAGTAGTTGAATAGGTAATATCTTATTTAATAGACACAGAATAAATTTTACTTTAAATATAGCAGCAATAACTAACTTTAGTTTACTGAATTTTCAAAGAATTTACATTTTAACCTCTCAGTACACGCGTCTCAAAAACTTGCATCAGTACAGGCAGAGTCTGCATATTGACATAGCAAGTTTGAGGACGGACTAAAACATTCTTTTGATAAAATAAAATGAACTACTATTAAAAACACTACTTATTTATTAATTGTTTTGCATGTTACACACATTCATTACAAGTATTTGTGCAATGTTATAAATACATATATTTTCCACATTTAACACATGAATACAATAATTTAACATATGAATAAGAACCAAGCAAAGTACGGTCCTTAGTCCGCGCGGACCTGTAATGCTCGAGGGGTGCTAAGAATCTCCGCGAGAAGGAGCCACCCGAATGTGACAACTAACTATATAGAGAACAGATCCTTTCTAAATTTCGGGACATGAAATGTGCGGAGTTTGTTCGAGCTAGGAAAGACGCACAACACGATCCAGGACATGAACAGAGTGAACCTAGAAATATTAGGTATAAGCGAATTGCGCTGGCCTGGTTCCAGTAAAATATGGACCATGGATAAAACGAAATACTACTTTGAAAATGACAGCCGAGATCCTCTATATGGAGTTGAAATAATTATCTCCAGGAGAATCCAAGCAGCGGTTGTAAGTTTTGTTCCATTTTCGGATAGAATGCTATTATTACAAATACAGGATAAGCCAGTGAACATTAATGTAGTACAAGTGTATGCTCCAACTGCAAATAAATCAGAAGCTACAATAGAACATTTTTATGAAAAACTCAATCAATTTTTACAATACACAACAAAGGAAGAAATTACTATAATAATGGGTGATTTAAATGCAAACATAAGAAAAGGCCGACTCGATAATATAATATGTGAGTATGGTTTAAGAATAAGGAATGCTAGAGGCGACAGATTGGCTCAATTTTGTCAAGAAGAAAACCTTGCGATTATAAACGCACGGTTTCGATTTCTACCCCGTAGACTGTATACCTGTAGGTCACCACAGGATAATGAACAAAATTGCAATAGATATCAGATCAACTTTATTCTAACCAATCTAAGATTTAGAAACTCCATTATAAACGTTAAGACGTATTATGAAGCATATGTCCCCCCAGACCATAACCTCCTTGTCTCAAAAATATAACCAAGGGAAAAAAAGAAAATAAAATTTAAAAGTTCCAAGGTGAATACTGTAAAAACAGAAGAATAAGTAAACTTGTTAATGACAATGGAGAGATAATCGTGGACAAAGAGAGTATCAATGATACCTGGAAAAATTACATAAGAAATTTATTTTTTGATGAGAGAGAGAACCAGCCCCCAATACCTACGGAAACAGGACCACCTATACTAGTGGCAGAAATAAGAGCAGCCATAATATCACTAAAAGAAGGTAAAGCTCCAGGACCAGACGGAGTACAATCTGAATTTCTTAAACTTCTTGATGATGAATCTTTAAGAGTACTATGTAAAATCTTCAATAATATCTATGACACAGGCAATATCCCAAAAGATTGGTTACTTTCAGAATTTATTACCTTACCAAAGAAACAGGGAGCAAAAAAGTGCGGAGAGTATAGGCTAATAAGTCTAATGAGCCATACATTAAAACTTTTTCTTAAAATTATACATCGTAGAATATACAAGCTATGCGAAGAGAGAATACAAGACACACAGTTTGGATTCATGAAGGGCGTAGGTACAAGAGATGCACTGTTTAGTCTACAGGTATTATTTCAAAGATGCAGAGATATGACTTGCGATATTTACACCTGCTTTGTGGACTACCAAAAAGCATTTGATACAGTTCAACACCAAAAAATGATGGATATTCTAACAAAAGCCCAAATGGATGATAAAGATCGGCGTATAATACAAAATTTATACTGGAACCAATCAGCCACAATAAGAACGAATTTTGGAGGTGAACCAACGGAAATGATCCAGATTCTACGAGGCGTTAGACAAGGTTGTATACTTTCACCTATATTATTTAATCTATATTCAGAGGAAATATTTAGTGAAGCCTTGGAAAAATGCGAACATGGAATACTTCTAAATGGAGAACGCCTAAACAACATCCGTTATGCAGATGACACCGTTATTTTTGCAGACAGTTTGAACAGTTTACAGCAACTAATAAACAAAGTAAATGAAGTAAGTGAAAGATTTGGACTTCAAGTAAATATATCAAAAACTAAATTTATGATCATCAGCAAAAATAAAGTTAGAGACGCTCAACTACTTATCAATAATACACCAGTGGACCGAGTAAAACAGTATAACTATCTTGGAACAAGAGTAAATGAACAATGGGATCACTCACAGGAAATAAAATGTAGAATAGAGAAGGCTAGGAGTGCATTCAATAACATGGCCAAACTCTTTAAAAGCCACAATCTTAATCTGGAGATAAAAGTGAGGCTCCTACGATGTTATATCTTCTCAATATTGTATTACGGAGTTGAATCCTGGACACTAACTGAAGCAATGGAGAAAAAACTTGAAGCCTTCGAGATGTGGCTATACAGGCGAATTCTAAGGATATCATGGACAGACAAGATAACCAACGAGACCGTATTACGAAGAGTGGGCAAAGAAAGAGAGGTGATGTATACCATTAAAAAGAGAAAGTTGGAATATCTCGGACATATAATGAGAAACAGCACTAAATACAGATTACTGAAGGTAATCCTACAGGGTAAAGTATTCGGAAAGCGAGGAATTGGGAGAAGGAGAATATCATGGTTGAAGAACCTGAGGAAATGGTTCTCCACAACAACAACAAATCTATTTAAAGCATCAGTCAATAAAATAATTATAGCCAGAATGATTGCCAATATTCGGAACGAATAGGCACTGAAAGAAGAAGAAGGTGAATACTCAGGCTTCAACTTATATTAATCAAGAAATGTAGAAATTAATATCAAAAATGAAAAATACTGTGAACATTATGTAAAGCAAAATCAAAAATTATGTTATAAAAACACAGAAATAAACTCTACAAAAGAAAACAGAAAACCTTAGATGACTCAAGAAATACTGTAAATCATGGAACAAAGAAGAAAATATAGAAAGAAAAACCCAAATAAGTACAGAAGAAAAACTTAAATTAATAAGAAACAAAATAAAACAGGCTAAGAAAAAGTGGATGATAAAAACATACATCAAAGTAAAAGAATTGCAGTAAAAAGCATGATCATTTTAATATACATAAAAAAGTAAAATAATTATCTGTGAAATCACGAACAAATAAACCTAACCTATTAATTGACAAAAACAATAAACCTATTAATAACCTAATGAAAATATATCAAGTATGGACTAAATATATTGAAGATCTTTTTATGGACACAAGAACTGAACCAACACAAATTGGTAACAAGGAAGCTCCAATAATATTAAAATCTGAAGTCCAACATGCTATAAACGTTTCAAAGTCTGACAGAGCCCCTGGATCAGATGAAGTTCATATCAAGCTGATTAAACTAATAGATGAAGACAATTTGAGTGCAATAACTATACTTTTTAACAACAAATACAAATCTGGTAGATACCTACAGAATGGATGCTTTCGACCTTTGTTCCGCTACCAAAAACTAAGAACCCCAAACACTGTAATGACTATAGAATATTTAGCTTACTGTCAAACTATTAAAAATCATTTTTAAAGATTATACACTTAAGAATATTGAGAAAGTACAAAGCGGATATGAGTAATAGACAGTTTGGCTTTCGTAACGGCTTCTGAACAGTGGAAGCTCTGTATAGTTTCACAACTCTTACCAAAAATGTCGAGACCAACAAAAAGATCTTTTCGTTGCGTTTATAGACTATGAGAAAGCTTTCGACAAAGTTAAACATAACATTCTCATGGAATGTCTAAAGAGAAAAGGACACGACAAAAATGACATTAACATAGTGAGAAATCTCTATTGGAACCAACAGGCTGTGATAACATTAGATGGAAATAGCACGGATGCGCAATAGATAAGTAGAGGAGTGAGACAGGGCTGTGTACTTTCACCATTACTATTTAATATATATTCCGAAGAGTTATTTACGCAAGCACTTGAAAACTGTACAAAAGGGATTAAGATAAATGGTGAAAATATAAATAACATCCGTTATGCTGACGATACAGTCATTATCGCTGAAAGTGAGACAGACCTGCAGACATTACCAAACACAATTTGTGATACTGGGTAACAGTTTGGTTTAACAATAAACATAAAGAAAACAAAAACCATGGTTATCAGTAAGAGAGGCAAAGTCATTACGAGGATCCAGATAAAAAATGAAGATATTTAGCAAGTGAACGAAATGAAATACCTAGAGGTCTGGATTACGACAGATCTGAATCCGAAATCAGAAATTCGCTTAAGAGTTCAATTAAGAGCAGCCTTTTTGAAAATGAGGAAATTTCTGATTCACCAAAGACCTAATGTGATTTAAGAAAACACCTGTGATTTAAGAATTGTCAGCAATCTGTACTGGAATTAAACATCATTTATCCGGACAAAGGCAGGAGAATCCGACGATATCAAAATCAAATGTGGCGTCCGTCAGGAATGTATACTATCACCACTGCTGTTTAACATATACTCTGAGGAAATCTTTCAAGAAGCAGTGGGTGATGTTGAAGCCGGAATTCGAATCAACGGAGAATCTATCAATAACATTAGATACGCGGACGACACGGTAGTATTTGCTGACAGTTCTGAAACCCTCCAGGAGTCAATGAACAGAATCACAGAGGTCAGTCAAAGATACGGACTTTCACTAAACACTAAGAAAACAAAATGCATGATAATC